GATTTTTTGAGCAGGAAACTAGAGAAGAACCCATAACAAAAATAAAAAAAAAGCCACCTCGATAGATTGAACTTTGTAAGCGATGTTTGGATAATGATCTTGCTAATTGTTTAGGAATACTTGAAACATGAGGAAAGAAGCACGAAAATGTTTTATTAATGGCAAATATTCCAAAGTATTAGAAATTTATAGAGAAATTCTCGAAAACTATTATCATGATAAAAAAGATTGGGAAAATCTTCAAATTGGAATCTTTCTCGTAAATGTGTCTTTAAAAAAATAAATTCGTTAAAGAAAGCGCTTTACAAGAACACAATGCTAATTTCATTGGACCTTTATGATAACAAACTTGGATCAGAAGGAGGAGAATATTAGCAGAGGCACTTTGCAATAATACCACTCTGACTTATTTGAATCTTAATGATAACCAACTTGGGTCAGAGGGAGGGCAAGCATTAGCTGATACTCTTTGTAAAAACACTGCTCTCACTTTTTTGGATCTAGGAGCGAATGAACTTGGATCAGAGGGAGGGAAAGCACTAGCAGAGGCACTTTGCAAGAATGCTACCTTGACTTCGTTGAGTCTTTGGTCTAATCAACTTGGCTCGAACGGAAGAAAAGTATTAGCGAAAGCACTTTGTAGGAATAGCATACTAGCTTCTTTGATCTTGGAGCAAATGAACTTGAATCAGAAGAAGGCGTGGCAATAGCAAATGCACTTTTTAAAAATATCACTCTGACTTCTATTGATCTTTCAGATAATAATTTTGATTCAAATGCGATAAAATTTTTTCAAAATATTAATAATAAAAACATAAATATAGTATTATAATAACGATAAAAAGGTCCTTGATTACAGCTTATAATAATATATTAGTGCAAATGGTAATTAATATGGCTTTTCGATTTCCAATTTGATATTATTTTTCTATTTTGAATAATTAAGTATGTATAGTTTGAAGCTTTTGCTAAATTTTTGATTTTTAAAAAAGCCAATAATTTAATTTCCTTTAAAAATAAATTTTATTAATTGTATATATTTTATTATTTAGCTATCTTTTTTATTATTGTATCAATTTTTAGTTATATTTTTTCTTTTTTTAATCAAAAAACTGTCGTTGCAAAAATAATTAGATACAGCATATTATATATTTTTAACAATTTAGCTTAATACAGCACATGTAACATGTTCCAACATTCTGTCTTTTGAATTCTTTAAATGAATTTATATTGAAATTATTTATTTGTTCAACGTGTGTCTGCATTCTGGAAGAAATTCATGCAGTGAAAAAAATGTCAATAGTGGAAAGAACACAAGAAATATTAAAAGGAACAAAATGCGGACAAACGGGAGTACAATTATTTTTCAGACTAGATGCGGGAGGAATTAGTTTGATTAATACCCTGACCGTATGTGAATTAGCGGAAACTTCGTCTCCGCTAATTCCCAACGGATCAGGATGTTATTATTACAAAACTAGGATAAAAGACATTTACATTTCTAAAAATACATGGCAATGATTTAATAAAAAAAAAAAAAGTGAAGAACATCAGTTTAAATTACGTTAATTAATATAACCGAAGTGAAGCATAATACTCAAACCGAGATTTGTCATAATAAATAAAAGATGGACAAAGTAGAATAAAGAGATAGAAAATGCATAAAAGTTTTCAACTAAGAATAAGTTATTATTTTTCTCTTATTTAGGGCGTTCTCAAGCACCTTATTCAACTCGTCAGAAGGTAGTAAAAAGTTAGTTTAACGAATCAATTGTATTGATTATTCCAATTAATAAACCATGTAACGAAAGTTTAATACGTCAGAAAAAAATTTTTATCGTTTAACCGACCAAGTGTATTTATCATTCCAATCAACAGGAGATAGAGGCCCTTTTTTTTGTCATAGAGTTGCATTTATTGGTCGAAATTTTTCATTAATTGATTAGAAAAAATATTTGTTCAAGTACTTCACTCTTTTTACATTATCGTTATTGTTATGGATCTTCAAAATCATTATCAACGTCGATGAATTATTATCGCTATTACCTTATTATGCTAAAAATATTCGCCGCAAATAAAAAGGCATATTTTTGTGTTCTGTTGGTTCGTAGTAAATTCTGAAAAAGAAGTAACAGAATTTGGATGTGTCGTAGATTCTTTATCCTTTCGTTGATCCATAGTTTTCACTATTTTATTTTATTTTATTTTATTTCTATTTGTAAAAACAATAATTTCTAAACGATAGTAATGATAATAACGTTTGCTCAAGCATAAATTGCCATCAATATTTTAATTAATCATAATACTTGACGCCAGCACGATCATAAATTAATCCATTTTGGGAGATACATGACCATATTTCAATCATATCATTGTCCATATTATCGGTCTTCAACATCATACTATCGGTTCTTAAAAATGGACTAATTAATAACGCCATAATGGTTGAGCACTATTTCAATCAATAGCTAATCGCATTGAGTGTGCTGCTTGAGAACACCCTTAATTTCTTTTAATGTTGATTTGATCTATATTGTACCATTTACCGATCAAACTGCTTATTCATTTCCCGGGGGGGGTTAAGAGAAGCCCGGTAAAGCACCTAGGCCACCATTCGACACGGCGGATTTTTGGAATTTGAATACCCATAATTTAACTAGATTTAGGGTTTCAAATAATTACAGGTTTATAAAATCTGATCTTGTTTTTAAAATTCCAAGTCTAATTGATTTTAGGAGAATTAAATTCCAAAATCTGCCGTGTTGTTAATTTCTCTTATTCGGTTAATTATTAGGATTTTGATTAATTACTAGAGTAGTTCAGAATTAACTTATTTCGAAAATAAGTGGGAGTTTAAAAATCCTATTTCTACTTTGAAATTCCAAAATCAGAAAATGAAGGGCATTTTTGATAATATATTATTATCGCATAAAAAAAAAAAAATAGAATTTAAAGATCATTGATTTCGAAGCAAATACGTCACTAATTTTATTCTTCTTTTTATTAAAATATATTTATTATTTGAGAACATATTTTAACTTTGATAACATTATGAATAATAATCTTGTGTTCATAAGAACAGATTGCATCGGATGTTGGGTATTAGTGGAAACTTCGTTTCCGTTTGCACACATAGGATCAAGGTATTTTACTAAATATTCTGTGTAGTGTTAGTAGCCAAGGCCTAAACTATCGATCGACTAATCTAATATTATAAAAATCGGTTTAGCAGACTAAGTAATAAAACATTGACCTAGGAGTGATTTTGACCAATCAATTTATCAAAGAAGTTCAAGACACAAAACTCTGATATAGTGATCGGGATATTCAATTTCTTAACAGATCATATTGGTATTTTTTTTCTTTTTAATGTTATATTACTGGACTTCGAAGTTGATGGATTTTGGAAATAAATAAGACCTTAAAAAATCGAATTTTATGATTATGAATGGTAAATAAGATAGTGAAATTATAGCATCTAGAGACTCTAAATTCATGAGTTTGTTTTTAGAAAAAATAAGCTTATAAAGAAAATGTGCTTTTATAGGAGATGACTATAAGGAGGTTTGGCTAGAGATGTGCCGTATGCGTATGCATTATGCAGGCGATGTTGCATGCTACATAATGCTGTATAATGCGATGCAAGTTGCCTAAAATTTAAAATTGTTGATCTATGTCATTTCATTAACAATCACTTTATAAATACTTGTTTCTATCAAAGTAAAATCCAATAAAAAATTAATCTACCAGGCTGTTTTTACCACTGTATATAAATTTAATAGTCTATGTTTTCAAATCTGACAACCTCTCAGTAATAATACAAAATCTGCTCACTGCATAGGTTGAGAGGCTACAGTATATTATACAGAATTGCATAATGCATCATGCAACATAATGGTGCATTATGTGATGCAAAACCAAAAAACCTTGCATTCGCACATCTCTAGGTTTGGCTGTATATTGTATTTTTACTATATTATATTTTTTTGATTTTTTATACATTTTTATAATATTTTTATTAAATCTTTATTATATTAATTATATTTTATATTATATTATATTTTTAAGATATTTTAAATATATTTTAAACATTTAGTTATTTAGTTTTAATAGAATGATGAAAATATTTTTAAATATATTTTCAATATATATTTAATATATTTTTATACTGTATTTAATATATTTTTTAAACCTAATTTTAATATTTTTAAATATAACGATTATATGATTATTATATAATAAATATACGATTTTCTGTAAAGTTCTTTACAGAAACCTCCAAAATTTACAAATCTTGTGATAAGATAGTTATGACTCACGTAACTAAATTATTATAATATCGTTATAATATTATAGTGACCATGTAACTAATTGATGGCACTACAATATTACAACAATATCATTACAATATATAATAATATTTTTAAATTTTAGAGGTTTCTGCAAAGAATTAAGATCTGCTGAAGGGAAATCGGGAAGTAATTGTCAGAGTAAGTGATTTTATCGGGAAAGGAATTGATTGTGTCGGGAAGTCGGAGAAATAATTCGGCAATTGTAATTTGTCAGTGAAGTGATTGTCAGTGAAATGATCAAATGGTTATTAGGGAATTAGTGTGCCGAGGAAATAATTATTGGGAAAATATATGTTACGTACTCTAATATATTATAATGCAAGAAAATGCTTTTGCGCATAATTTGATTCGAACAACTACAAAATTAAAGAAGAAAAGAGCGAAAAAATATTACCGTGTACAATTATATGTAAAGATACTATACAAATAAGTTGATAACTAAATACAGTCAGACCCTCCTAGATGCAACCCCTCTAAGTGCACGTCCTATGAAAAGCCTCCCTAAATGCACGTCTTCTCTTAGGCCCGACTAATATTATGCCTATAGATTTTTACCTCCTTAAATGCAATACCTCTCTAAATGCACGTTTGGCTAAATTTTTACATATGTCCCGTCGCATTGCATTTAGAGAGGTCTGATTATACAAATTAATACCCAAGGAAAAATAAGGTAGAATTTTTTAAACTAAAATAGGTGTACTGTGATTCAGGAATATCAGATGGATTATTTCCATCATTCCATTGTATAATAGGCGTTGGATGAACGCTATATGAAGTAATCTCTTTATTCGTAACTATTTCGAGAAGAGCTAAATCAATTGCATCATGTGGTATCATAGGATCAAGTTTTTCCACCAACTTGCGGGCACCCCAATATGAAACAGCATAAGCATGTGTACAATGCGGCGTCCTTGATTCATATAGTCTATTGGCAAAAGAACTATTATCGACAAGTTTACCTTTATATTCATAACAATGACCAATAAACAAAGTATCCCAATAAGCGGGTAAATTACGATGAATCTCTGTCATAATTTCAGTGATATCAGTTTCAAAATCAACGTCATCTTCTAGAATTAAAGCACTATGGAAGCCTTCATCAATTATTGATTTATAAATCATATAATGACCGAGAAAACAAGCCCTTCTACCAGGAGATAATCCACCGTAACCATATTTTCGAAAAACCTTATTGTCATATTTGGAAGGGGCACTAAAATAGTCAAAATCTAAATTAAGATAAGAAGCCAATATTCTCATTCTATCACGTCTATCAGTTCGATAATGAAGACTAATAACATATATATGATCGAAGCCAAGTGTTCGATTCGAAGGTTTAACCTCTTTAGTCTCTTTTAGTAAATTATTGGAAAATTTGAATAACGAAAAGATTAGATAGCTTATATAGATTAAAATTATAATCAAGAAGCTAATATATTTCTTGCTGGGTTTGCTCTTGTCATTGTTTTTAAATAAAAAGGCTGATTGCAAAGAGAACGCCTTCATTTATAATAAAATAACTAATCATACATAACTGTTTGAATAATCATTTAAATAAAGAATTGTTAGAATGATAATTATTTAACGTCCAACCATAAAATTCTATTAAAATGATTGCCTAACACTAACAATAAAGAACTTTTAAAATGATTTTTTTTGCTTTATTTAATTATTTGATTTTCACGCTACAGTTCTGTTGTACCATCGAATAATTGAAATCAATGATTTGTTTAATAACTTAGTTCTTATTACCGGTGTTAACTATGTTGACAGATCATCAGGGGAATGGTAATTAAATAGACAATTTTATTTATAATAATCTTTTAAATTAGAAGGCTTCAAAAGCGTACAAATTCTAATCTTTATTCTTTAGGTTCTCTTTAATTCATAAAATACGTATAAATATATATTTTCATACTAAATCCCGGCAGATCATTTTCAATAGCAATCACTAATCATATGCAATCAGAATTTGTTAACGTTAACATCATAATCAGAATTAGCAATTTTTGTGCGACATATGGAAACTTGGATTCACAGTTTTTTTTATCAATATACGAAGGTAGACTTTTTTAAATGACACAGGTTTTAAAATTTTACTATAACAAATGCGAACCTTCAAATTATTTACCACAAAATTTTGGTGAATCACTAAACCAGGAACGGATGAATGTAAGCTTAATTTAGAATTTAGACAGATAAATGTCAAATAAATAAACAAATACTAATACATCTTAACTATATTGATATGAAACGCTATAATTTAAACAAACAAGAAATTTTATAAGATTTTAAGATGTATATAGTATAGAGTGTATCCACGTCTTTAAAAAACACATACCAGTCACAATAATTTTCTAATGCTAACCATAATAATACATAATGCCGGAACATGGAGTGTTTCATCTTAAAAGGACTCATTTTGACATTTAAATAATTTCGAATAAATCGAATTTAGTTTATGAATCTTTCTATTACATAATTAGCTTTGTTACTTATAATAAACTCTTTTATTGTATATATGCAGTGTTGTCACATGGATATTTGGTCAGCCAAAAGTCAAATTTCTAAAAAAAAAAAAAATTATTTGCCCGAAATAGCCAAAAGTTTATATAATAAAAACTATTACAGCTATTATCATAATTTCTGGGACATCTGCTCATTACTCGAAATCTTTTTGGTCGTTCGGTAAATTACCTAACTCTCTGGAAAATACATCGCTATCTTCGGACCTTCAGTCCGGAGGCATTGATGTAATTTCCGGAGAGTTAGGTAATTTACCGAACGACCAAAAAGATTTCGGGTAATGAGCAGGTGTCCCAGAAATTATGATAATAGCTGTAATATGGCTGGCAAATATTACATAAATTAGAAATTTTTGGCCGAGCTTGGCCGACCCCAAAAAATTGGGTTGCCGCTAGGGTTGCGACTATACATGCCGTAGAAATTAGTTTCGGCTGCGCCGAAAGTATTTAGGTACCGATTTTTCGGCATAATTTATGCCGTAATCCGAAACAAAAGCCGAAATCCAAAATACATGCCATAATCTAAATTAATTGCCGCAATTTGTCTTATAATAATTTATAACTACTTTATTATGTAATTTATATTAATTATACTTTCGCTATATACAGTATAATATGTACAGTATATATGGACTTGCAATAAAAAAGCAATTTATATTTATTTCTTATTTATTATTACGAAATACATTTACTTGTTTAGTAATGCGCAAATCACTAAGTTATCCACCAAAGCGACAATTTAATAATGCTTAAATCTTTGTTATCCACCAAAGCGTCAATTTAACTGCTTAATAAACCTCTAAGTTATTCACCAAAGCATCAACATCGAATTCCACATTACCATGATATTCTAAATCTTTGGCTTTTCACATGTACAGTACGCTTTGCACTATAATGTCCACGATCTTTGAGTTATTATTTTTGGATATATTTCCACACCTAGTTAGGTGGTCGTCCAGCTGTATTATTAGATGACATGTTCATAAAATGAAGAAAGATAATAAAAATTTATAAAATCGAATTATTTTAGTATTTAAATAAAATATACTTTGGTTTATTACATCACATAAAATCATTATATCAATTGATGATATATCAATTATACTTTATACTTAATTACTTCCGGCATTATATTAAATATACATTACAGTATTACTTTCGGCACTTATGTATGATTTTAGGCATTGGTCATAAGTTGCGGCATGAATTTTAAATTTAGGCATTGGTCATAAGTTGCGGCATGAATTTTAGATTTAGGAATTGCCGCATGTCAAAATTCAGGTAAAAATTATGCCGCAATAATTTCTACGGCATGTATAGTTGCGACCCAAACTCTTTCAAACCCCGAAACTATGAAACCAATTAGATTACAGGATTTTTGTAATCAAAACAATAGTAAAACTTGGATGACAATATATTTTACTATGAGTACTAAATTTATGTACTAAGTAAAAGTTTCAGCACAAAATTTTACATATAATTTATCCACCTACCTAACTCTAGCTCTAAATGTTCAATTTTTAAAAAAATTTAAAAATTTTATAATAGAGCAGTGATAGCTCAATTTATGTATAATACGTATATTTATATCAATACCATATTTTAAAATTAAATCTCGGTATTACTGATATACAAATACACAGGCAAAATAACAACCCTTTTTTACAAGTATTCATTCGAAAATCTTTGGTGCGATATGTAACTTTTCCAAATATTTTTGTATCTCTTTCACAGGTAATTTAAAAGTTTGGAAAATATTTAGAAGATATTTAGAAAGGTTGCATATTACACCAAAGGTTTTTAAAAGAATACTTGTCTAAAAGATTTATTGTTCTACCTGTGATAGCTACCAATATATTTGCTGATAATAAACAAATATTAGTTTCGGGGTTTCGGATAGGGTTTCGGGTTTCGGATAAGGTTTCGGGGTTTCGGATGGGATTTCGGAAACTATAATCCGAAACCCGAAACTTTCGGATTTGACAATAAGGTTTCGGTGCCAACTCTAGTTCGCGTTCATAACCAAAACCAAAATATGTATCCCATTTCGGTAAATAGTGTCAAACCCAAACTGTCAATTCATTAAATAAATATTCGGCATTTAATAGAATAATCTATAAATTATTCAATAAATCTGACTTTTAATCATGTATATCCATGTTTAAACATTAATAATCTAAAGATCGAATCCAATTCAAGAACTATGGGTGGATCAATCATCGATTAATTAAATATAGCGATAAGATATAAGTTGGAGAATTCTGAAATATACATGGGTTTTTTGTTCTATGGGTTCATTGTCTCTTTTTTTTTTTTTTTTTACTTATTACAGTTTTGTAAAGCAATAATTTTTCTAATGGTAACGATAAGATAGTAATAATAAAAGC